AATTATATGTAAAAACTACTTAAAAGTACGAAATTAACTTGTAATTGTAAGATTTACTTCTAAGTAAAAATACAAATTTAAAATTTTAAGTAAATATTTAATTTTATTTAATCTTTAAATTAAATATTAACTTATATGTAATAAAATTATCTATAAGTAAAATATCACTTATGAGCAAAAAAAATTATACAAAAACTATAAATTTTAAATTTCACCATAAGAGAAATATATGTAGAGGGTGTTTGGGAGATATTTTTATGTAAAAATACATTTTTGAATAGTAAATTGATGGGAAATGTGTGGTTGAAAAATAAAGAAAAGTTTTTGATTTACGTGTAATATTATTTTAATAAAGAATGTGTGGTTGAAAAGAAGAGAGAGAAAAATGCATTTTGATAAAAAATGGGCACCAAACGAACTCGTAATTTTATTCTTTTAGAAAACTGTAGAGCCAATGAATAATAAACTCACAAGCATGACTTGGACAATTTTACAATCAGTTACTAAGCTCCTCTTTGGCCCCCATTTTGTAGAAATGAAAGGAGTGGGATAATATTTTTTTTTAAGAAATGAGTGATTGAAAAAAGAATGAAAGGTTTTCCCTCTAACGATGAGAAGCTTGTAGAAGTTCTAAGACGTCGTCTTGTTCCTTACCTAGGAATTTTCATGTAATATTATTTTTAAAAAAATTGCGTGGTTGAAAATAGAAAAGAGAAAAATGTAATGTAATGGAATGAAAATTAATGGGAAACAAACGGAGACTAAAAAACACTCAAAATCGATCCGTTCATAAATGCTTAAAATCAGTACTTTAAAAAAGGTCAATAACAAGTACGTCGAAACTCCCAAGCAGGCCATAATGAAACGGGTATTTTTTCTTCTCTATTAATATTTTGACTTGAGGCTCTTTTTGTATTGAGTTAGGAACTTGTGTTTCAAAATCAATTTATACCATGGTCATGTGGCTGATGGATATTAGACGTTGCAGCTCACATCCGTTAATAATATTCTAATCCTTATTAGCATAATAATATATGGGCTACATTCAAATCAAAAACACATTTTCCAATTATTGAATACGTGGGAGTGTGCGTGGGCTGAATTGCAGATTTGGAGTTAGGTTTGGAATTTCACCTTTATATTTGATTAAATACCAATATTCTAAAAAAAGTAGGCCTGGACACGAGAGCGCTCGCACATTTTTGTTTAATCAGTACAATTCTTATTTTAGAGTCTAGCTCAACAAAATGCTCGATAATATATGGGCTACATTCAAATCAAAAACACATTTTCCAATTATTGAATACGTGGGAGTGTGCGTGGGCTGAATTGCAGATTTGGAGTTAGGTTTGGAATTTCACCTTTATATTTGATTAAATACCAATATTCTAAAAAAAGTAGGCCTGGACACGAGAGCGCTCGCACATTTTTGTTTAATCAGTACAATTCTTATTTTAGAGTCTAGCTCAACAAAATGCTCAATCGCTAAAATTGAAAAATGGAATAAGTCTTAAAAAAAAAACTCACACTTTATGATTTGAGAATTCTTGTTGAAATTTTCAAAAAAATTGTAAACGGTTCCTATAAGGTTTTCAAGTTATGCATTATTTTACTTATTTAAGTATATTTGAATAATAAATTAATATTAGAAACGAGGAAACATCAGACACTTTGATCTCTATTATTTCTAGAGATGGCAATTCAGCTCGTCGGCTTGGTCCGAAAAAAGTCGAGCCCCATTTTGGGAGGGACAGGTCGAGCTCAAGTTGGTCCGAGTGGTTCGTCAGCTCAGAATCACGTGCCTTTAAAAAAAAAATAGGAAAAACAGCAAAATGTTGCCTTTTTAGTCATTTTGTGCTACCTTGAAGAAAAAAATCAGCTAGGCTCGAAAAGGCTCAAACTGAAAGCTTGAGTTGAGCCTAAATTTTTGGTAGAGCAAAAGCTCGGCTCGACTCGAATCTAAAAAAACGCTCGCATCATTTTATTCGAGCCAAACTCGAGCCTCGAATTTGAACTTGTGAGCCAACTCGACTCATCTTGCTGACATTCTTAATTATCTCCGCAATGCATCTTTCTTTATGCTTCTCAACCAATAATACGGAAATTTATATTTTTCCAAATTTTTTTAACTCAATGTAGTATTCTAAAATGCATTATTAACTCACGGACTCAAACGGACGCTACTTATACCTAATAATTAGAACAATTATTCGTCCACTTCTGCGTTACGCTCTCTCTCCTTCCGTTCCTTTCGTGTCTATATATTCTTCTCGTCCTCCATTACACGACCTGTTCCAGTTCCATACCTTCAAATTTCCAATGATTTTTCTTTTTTTTGCAATGAAAACAAATTCTATGTATAATTGTAATAATTTATATTTCTTTAATTGACAACTTTCATGAAAAACAAAGTCAAACACTTATCAAAAGATACAAAATTTCAACATTTTTCAGATAAAAAATTATACTAATCAAACACATTTAATTGACAGTTCCTAGTAAATCAAGTTTTAAACGATTCAATTCCCTGAAATTCGTTTTCTTTCCATCCAAATTCTATCATTGCATTCAAACAGACCCTAAAAAATTTACTTATAAGCCTATAACTTATATTATAATTAAAAATCACTTATAAGTAAATTATTAGTTATAAGATAAAAAATTAATTTTATCTAAAAATTTGCTTATAAAGTAAAAATATTATTGATAAGACAAAAATTTTACTTTTAAAATATAACAGTTACTTATAAGTTAAAAAATCGATTATATGTAAAAACTACTTAAAAGTACGAAATTAACTTGTAATTGTAAGATTTACTTCTAAGTAAAAATACAAATTTAAAATTTTAAGTAAATATTTAATTTTATTTAATCTTTAAATTAAATATTAACTTATATGTAATAAAATTATCTATAAGTAAAATATCACTTATGAGCAAAAAAAATTATACAAAAACTATAAATTTTAAATTTCACCATAAGAGAAATATATGTAGAGGGTGTTTGGGAGATATTTTTATGTAAAAATACATTTTTGAATAGTAAATTGATGGGAAATGTGTGGTTGAAAAATAAAGAAAAGTTTTTGATTTACGTGTAATATTATTTTAATAAAGAATGTGTGGTTGAAAAGAAGAGAGAGAAAAATGCATTTTGATAAAAAATGGGCACCAAACGAACTCGTAATTTTATTCTTTTAGAAAACTGTAGAGCCAATGAATAATAAACTCACAAGCATGACTTGGACAATTTTACAATCAGTTACTAAGCTCCTCTTTGGCCCCCATTTTGTAGAAATGAAAGGAGTGGGATAATATTTTTTTTTTAAGAAATGAGTGATTGAAAAAAGAATGAAAGGTTTTCCCTCTAACGATGAGAAGCTTGTAGAAGTTCTAAGACGTCGTCTTGTTCCTTACCTAGGAATTTTCATGTAATATTATTTTTAAAAAAATTGCGTGGTTGAAAATAGAAAAGAGTTGGACAATTTTACAATCAGTTACTAAGCTCCTCTTTGGCCCCCATTTTGTAGAAATGAAAGGAGTGGGATAATATTTTTTTTTAAGAAATGAGTGATTGAAAAAAGAATGAAAGGTTTTCCCTCTAACGATGAGAAGCTTGTAGAAGTTCTAAGACGTCGTCTTGTTCCTTACCTAGGAATTTTCGTGTAATATTATTTTTAAAAAAATTGTGTGGTTGAAAATAGAAAAGAAAAAAATGTAATGTAATGGAATGAAAATTAATGGGAAACAAACGGAGACTAAAAAACACTCAAAATCGATCCGTTCATAAATGCTTAAAATCAGTACTTTAAAAAAGGTCAATAACAAGTACGTCGAAACTCCCAAGCAGGCCATAATGAAACGGGTATTTTTTCTTCTCTATTAATATTTTGACTTGTGGCTCTTTTTGTATTGAGTTAGGAACTTGTGTTTCAAAATCAATTTATACCATGGTCATGTGGCTGATGGATATTAGACGTTGCAGCTCACATCCGTTAATAATATTCTAATCCTTATTAGCATAATAATATATGGGCTACATTCAAATCAAAAACACATTTTCCAATTATTGAATACGTGGGAGTGTGCGTGGGCTGAATTGCAGATTTGGAGTTAGGTTTGGAATTTCACCTTTATATTTGATTAAATACCAATATTCTAAAAAAAGTAGGCCTGGACACGAGAGCGCTCGCACATTTTTGTTTAATCAGTACAATTCTTATTTTAGAGTCTAGCTCAACAAAATGCTCAATCGCTAAAATTGAAAAATGGAATAAGTCTTAAAAAAAAAACTCACACTTTATGATTTGAGAATTCTTGTTGAAATTTTCAAAAAAATTGTAAACGGTTCCTATAAGGTTTTCAAGTTATGCATTATTTTACTTATTTAAGTATATTTGAATAATAAATTAATATTAGAAACGAGGAAACATCAGACACTTTGATCTCTATTATTTCTAGAGATGGCAATTCAGCTCGTCGGCTTGGTCCGAAAAAAGTCGAGCCCCATTTTGGGAGGGACAGGTCGAGCTCAAGTTGGTCCGAGTGGTTCGTCAGCTCAGAATCACGTGCCTTTAAAAAAAAAATAGGAAAAACAGCAAAATGTTGCCTTTTTAGTCATTTTGTGCTACCTTGAAGAAAAAAATCAGCTAGGCTCGAAAAGGCTCAAACTGAAAGCTTGAGTTGAGCCTAAATTTTTGGTAGAGCAAAAGCTCGGCTCGACTCGAATCTAAAAAAACGCTCGCATCATTTTATTCGAGCCAAACTCGAGCCTCGAATTTGAACTTGTGAGCCAACTCGACTCATCTTGCTGACATTCTTAATTATCTCCGCAATGCATCTTTCTTTATGCTTCTCAACCAATAATACGGAAATTTATATTTTTCCAAATTTTTTTAACTCAATATAGTATTCTAAAATGCATTATTAACTCACGGACTCAAACGGACGCTACTTATACCTAATAATTAGAACAATTATTCGTCCACTTCTGCGTTACGCTTTCTCTCCTTCCGTTCCTTTCGTGTCTATATATTCTTCTCGTCCTCCATTACACGACCTGTTCCAGTTCCATACCTTCAAATTTCCAATGAATTCGAAACAGCAACTCCTCGACTCCCTCACGGCCCACATTTCTCTTTACAACTCCAAGATATCTGATCCGAACCCCAGCCGGAACCCGAAACCGAATCCTAACCCGAACCACCGACCCGCCATCCTTAAATGGTTATCATCTCTCTCGGTCCACCACCGCCAGGCCTATTTAACAACCGTTGACTCAGACTTCATTAAGATCCTGCTGGGAATGCTTGAGAAGCTCCGGTTAAACGGCCCAGGTCGGTTTATTATTCTCCCTGACCTCCCTACCACCTGTGAAAAAGACGATTCTACCCTTCCCACCTTGTGTTATCGCAAGATGGAGGGGCTTCTGTTGAGAATTGCGCAGTCGAATGCGTCAGAACGTGTGATTTATGATTCCGTGAAGTTATTCAGCTCAAAAGAAGGGGAAAATAATGAAGAGGGAATTGATTTTTTGGGGACTAGTCTAAATGCGATGGGTGTAATTGAAGAATTTGTGGAGGATGTGAATAGATTTGTCGAAATAATGGATGGAGTTTCGGGTGGGGAGTTTTTGAGGGGAGGGGAGGAGGGGGAGATGGCGGGAGAATGGGTGGAGCTGAAATGGTTGAAAGCAAAAGGATATTATAGTTTGGAGGAGTTCATTGCTAACAGAATGGAGGTGACTTTGAAGTTGGCATGGTTTAACTGTAATAGTGGAAAGAAACGGGGGGCGAAGTTAAAGGATAGGTTGAGTGCATCTGGCATGGCTGCAAATGTGTTTTGGAGGAAGAAAGGATGTGTAGATTGGTGGGAGAAATTGGATGACACTATCAGGAAGAAGGTGTTTCGCACTTTCTTGGGAAAAGCCGCAAAATCTTTGGTACTTCTATTTAGTTCTTGTTACAGATTTGTTTTGTCGTTTCTTTTTGTGTGTATTTACTACTGATCTCTTTAGTGCACGACGTTAAAATATGTGTTGTGAGACATATTCTGATATGTGGAATTGATGTTAATTATAGCATTTGTAATCATGTTAGAGTGGGAAGCTGATGCAAAGTCATTAGAGCAGATAACTATGAGTCCTTCTGCATAGAGATATATTTTCTTTTTTTGTCATTTAGCAACCGTATTGAAATGCTTTTTGTGTGGGCTTATTTCCAAATTGGCTCATACTTGCTTTCTGTTTCTACCTTTTGTTATCTCTTTCTTGTTGTAAGTAGGGTCCAGTATCTCATGATTGTGATCACAGGCACCAGCAATGTTGAAGGGTAAAGGTTGCATCTTAGACGACAAAATGTGGCTCTACGATTATCGTGGCGAGCAGCCCTTGAGATGTAATTCTACTTTTAAGAGTGGAAGGGACATTGCTAAACTCAAAGGAACAGATTCTAAAAATAAATGGAACACAAATCCTACACCAGTTTCCAGAAATTCTTCTCCGTTGAACTGTGTGTTTAATAGTTTGTACATTCTTCAGGTTATCTGTACCATGTTGTTAGCATTTCAGCGTGGTGCTTATGATCAAGAGAAACTATTTTTTACTTCATTGGACTCTGCAAATATCATTTCTGACATTATATTAAGAAAATTCAGAGAGATGCTCATGGTTGTTTCGCTTGATTGCACAAAAATTGAGCTACTCGAGGAGGGAAATTGGAGTTCTAATAAATTTAAGGAGAAAGGTGCTTCCAGTAATCATAAGAAAAAGGGTAAAAAGCGCAGTAAGAATTCAATCCCTGTTCCAAGACCTTGTACAGATGGCCGAAACCTTGTTGAACCTACCCAGGTATGTCTTCATCTCCTCAGTATCTTTTTCTTTAATTCCTGTACATAATTAGACCCTACATACTTGAATCCTTAAATATTTCCAATGATACTACAATTTAATGCATATGGGCAGGTGTATAGTGGCAATGGAGATATTAGACTGCCTAACAGGTTTGATGGTGAAGTTCCGGAGGAAGTTATTGCTAGGAGGAATCTTGCATCGACAGATGCCATGGTTGTGCTCGTCTATTTTTATGTGAAAACTTAAGGCCTCCATTTGGCAACGAATTTATAAATTTGATCAAAGTTAAACATTAATTTCAACTCTAAATTCAAAAATGCTTCTCATTTATTATCCGTACATTTTGTGAGCACACTATTATTCCTCGTATATTCATTTATAAATTTGCCAAACGGAGGCTAATTCTATTAATGGCAGAAATGTTTTGTAACTGATTGACTGTGACCAGGGACCCGTTAAAGGATTAAATAATGTAAATGTACAAAGTGCTCCTAAGAAGAGTAGGAAAGAGAAGAAAAAGCTCAAAAGCTCGAGCTCCCATAGCTCAGAAGTTGCAAGTTATCATTCTAGAAGCTCTATAGCTACCGCTATTTCTGTTAGTTCTCAAGATACGCCCTCCATGGCTCACTGTACACCTGGAAATACAACTATCGAGATCTTTTCAAACAATGTTGCAGCCGGGATTAACATCTCTGAAGTAAATCCAGATCATTGCTGTGAAAGTACTGTAATGGCACAATGTGAGGAGACGCATGATTCTTCTGCTGAAGTCAGTGATAGTCTTGGTTTGAAGCACCATCAAAACTCGGACATAGTGGTCCAAAATGATACTGAAACTTCCAGGGTTGGTCATCTGAGTGAGGATGTGGATTCTGATGCAACTCCTGTTATGCCTGTGGTTGAAGATAATGATATGTGTGGCGGAGTTATTGGCAGAAGAAGTTATGCACATTCACATGGAATTTACCAAGCGACGGGTTTTCTAGGGAAACTAACAGAAGGTAATAAGACAGAAGGAAAAACTTTTCGGGTTCAGGAGCAAGGAAGTATGGGTAACATCGGGGCCACAAGTTCATCAGCATACATCTCTTATGAGTGGCCCAGTGTAGCCACTATTCATCCTTCTGCTAATACTCACCTCCCTACTGCCACAGATAGATTGCATCTTGATGTTGGTCATAATTGGAAAAATCATTTTCACCAAATACAAAATGTACAAGTAAGAAATTCTTCTGTTGACTCTAGGTATAGTGGAGTGATATCTCAACATCTACCAATGAGTTTAGATTGGCCTCCGGTGTTGCATGGTGTCAGTAGACTATCCCCATCAGTTACTTGCAATTATGATTCTGATTTTATCTCAAGACGACAGTCCCCTCTTCTTCAGCGCTTCACTGCTCAACATGTGCAGTGCGGTCCAGTTACTTCAGAGGATGAAAGGGTCCTTTCTGGTGAATTTATGGACATGTCCGATGTTACAAATTCTCAGGAACCAGTGGATGAGCATGACAACCGCTGGATGTCAGAAGAAGAGTTAGAAGTACATGCAGTTTCTGCGCTGGATTGTAATCAGTACTTTGGTGGCGGTGTGATGTACTGGAATCCTTCTGATCATCCAGGGACTAGTTTCTCACGTCCTCCCTCACTCTGTTCAGACGATAGCTCTTGGGCTTGGAGAGAAGCTGATATGAGTAGGGCTGTTGATGATATGGTTGCCTTCTCCTCCTCTTATAGTACAAATGGACTGACCTCACCTTCTGCTGCTTCCTTTTGCTCTCCCTTTGATCCTCTGGGACCTGGAGCTCTTGGCTATGTTATTCCTGGTAGTGATATAAGTGGCAAAGTTCTGCACTCCTCATCAGCAATGAATGATGTGGATGTTGAGGAGATTGTCTCTGGATGTATTCCCAATATGCCTGGTGATGGAGAAGCGAAAACTGGAGATTCACTTCCATATCCCATTTTGAGGCCAATAATCATCCCAAATATGTCGAGGGAAAGATCTAGATCGGATTTTAAGCAAAGTTATGATAGAAAAAGCCCTTGTGTTCCACCTAACAGGCGGGAACAACCTCGAATTAAGAGGCCACCTTCTCCCGTAGTCCTATGTGTTCCACGTGCCCCTCATCCACCTCCTCCCTCTCCTGTTGGTGATTCCAGAAAACACAAAGGTTTTCCTACTGTTCGATCTGGTAGCTCCAGCCCAAGGCATTGGGGTGTCAAAGGTTGGTTCCATGATGGTGTCAATTTTGAAGAAGCTTGCTTACCCATGAATGGTAGTGAAGTAGTTTGGCCTTCCTGGAGAAACAAAAGCCTTTCCGCCCGTCAGTTGACGCAGCCTTTAGCAGGAGCATTGCTACAGGATCGACTTATTGCAATTTCCCAGCTAGCTCGGGATCAAGAACATGTACTTACATTCATCATTTATAATCATCCTTTTAACACGGTTGTGAATTTTTTTCTTTCTTCATTATTTTAATGTCTAATTTCAATGGAAAATGTCTACCTTAGCCAGATATTGCATTTCCTTTGCAACCACCTGAACTGCAGAACTGTTCCTCCCGCAAGGCTTCTCTGTCACTGTTCCATAATACTCTCCATGATGAAATCAACTCTTTCTGCAAGCAGGTGTGATACTGGACTGGTTTAATGTCTTGTTTTTAGGATTTAATGCTGCTAAGATTTGAATTTATTTCTCATGGTAAAATTATGTTCCATTTGTGTTAAAAGATTACTGATAAATTGCAATCTGCTACAATATGTTAGGTTGCTGCTGAGAATTTGATCAGAAAGCCTTACATTAACTGGGCTGTTAAGTGTGTTGCACGTTCTCTCCAAGTCTTGTGGCCTCGTTCTAGGACAAATGTTTTTGGTTCAAATGCTACTGGATTGTCCCTTCCATCAAGTGATGTGGACCTTGTGGTTTGTCTTCCTCCTGTGAGAAATTTGGTAATAACAAGTTCATTTGGATTATATATTTTGTAATAGATTTAGGGAGAAATATTATAGAAAAGTAACATTATCTACATTGTTTTTAGGAACCTATTAAAGAAGCAGGGATCTTAGAGGGTCGTAATGGCATCAAAGAAACTTGCTTTCAGGTATTCAGGATGATATAAAGCTGATCTCGTGTTATATGAATGATAAAATTATACTTTTTCTTGGAAAAGTGATCTTGGCAAGATGGTCCCTGTTTTCAGATCATCTTTCTGATCTCGTGTCTTGGAAAAGCGATATTGGCAAGATGATCCCTGTTTTCAGATCATCTTTCTTCTCGTGTCTTTATATGACCCATAAATGGAAGAATTACACTCTTCTTGCTGTCTCAAATAGTCAAAAGTTTGAGAAATCAGTTGCAAGTTTGCTGAATATTGTGCAAACTGATGCTTAGTGTGAACCTTTTCATTTTTAGGTCCATTTACGTTGAATTTGCCCACATTCTAGGTATCATCCCCAAAAAAAAATAAAAAAAAATAAATAAAATGAGAAAGAGTCCTGCAACTGAAGCAATAGAGTTGAGTAATGTGTTATATTTTGGCTTCTTAGAATATAATACAAAATTTTGTGTATTGAACAGTACTCGTCTCAGTTCTACTAGGTGTCTCATCAGGGGAGTGCTTGTGTAGTTAATAATTGGAGCCTACCTAGCAATCACTATCCGATCATGCTACGTATCGTACTCGTGTACTGTTCATCCTGCAAAAGATGTTTGAAAACCTTTCCTACTCCGATACAAATGAGCACACTTTATGAGCATCAGACTCATTTTCTTATGTGGATAGAAGACAACATGACAATTGAAACCTGATATGTACCTGGTATAATGACAGTTTACCCAACGCACTCTTAGGATAAATGAGAACTAAATTTCATTAATGAACTGGAATTACACTGGTGAAAGATCTGTTATACGAATGACATCTGAAATACAAGGAACTGATTAAATGAAGAAAATAACAAGGATATAGATGTGAACATTCGAGAGGTCCACTACTCTCCTACTGATAACCAATTTCTGCCTACTCAACTGTAGCTCCGTTCCTTTATTTATAGGTTGCTTGTCTTCTAGACCGTTCCTTCCCCAACCAACTCATGTAACTGTGCATGTTGTCTCTCTTCTTGTGCATTTCCCTTGCTACCCCTGTGCCTTTGATAAGTAATTTGTATTGCTGGTCTTACATTATTCCCCCCAACAAGACTCAGCTTGTCCTCAAGGTGAAAGGACGGAATCTGTTGTTTTAACAAGTCATAGGATTCCCAAGTTGCTTCAAGTGGTGGTAGCCCTTTCCATTGAATTAATACATCAAGCCCTCTAATGTTGTGACCGAATCCGGGTCGTACCCCAAGCACTGCTTCAGGTTCCACCAACATTTCCAACTCCTCATTCAATTGGCTGGGTACTTCCTCCATAGCTTGTGTTGCTCCCATTGCTTTGTGCAACTGTGATATGTGAAAAACCGGACGAACGCTACAAGTAGATGGTAGTGACAGTTTATATGCCACAGGTCCAACCCTCTTCTCAACAGCAAATGGACCATAGAATCTTAGACCCAATTTCTCGTTACTTTTAGCTACCAATGTTTTCTAGCGATGGGGTTTGATTTTCGAGTATAACAAATCCCCAATCTGGAACTGGACATCTCGATGTTTAGGTCTGATTTTCAAGTATACCAAATCCTCTATCTGGAACTGGATATCTCGGCGTTTAGCATCAGCTATGTTCTTCATTTTAGCTTGAGCTCTGAGTAGTTGTGCCTTTAATTGGATCCCTTCTCGATCCTTACTAAGGCTGGGGGTTCTCTCCCATATACAATTTGAAAAGGAGTAGTTTTGGTAGCTATATGAAAGGATGTGTTGTACCACAATTTCGCCCATGGCAACCAACTGAACTAAGATTTTGGCCGCACTGAGGCAAAGCAACGAAGATAAGTTTCTATAGTGCGGTTTAATACCTCTGTCTGCTCATCAGACTCAGGGTGATAAGCTGTACTTCGGCGGAGCTTAGTTTTTTGCAACCGAAATAACTCCTCCCAAAAATGGCTCACAAAAACCTTGTCTGGATCTGAGACGATGGAATGAGGTATTCCATGGAGCCGTACCACTTCTTTAATGAAAACTAACCCCACACTAGCCGCTGTAAAAGGATGTTTGAGCCCCATAAAGTGCCCGTATTTACTCAGTCGATCAACAACCACCAGAATGGTGTCCATATTTCCAGATTTAAGCAGCCCCTCTAGGAAATCCATGCCAATATCTTCCCAGACCCGATTCGGGATAGCTAGGGGTTGTAACAGCCCCCCCGGGGATAGGGCACTATACTTGTTTTGCTGACAAACGGCACACTAACTGACATACTTGCTTATATCTGATTTCATTCCCTCCCAGTAAACACTTGCTGCAATTCGTTTGTAGGTCTTCAAAAATCCAGAGTGCCTCGCTAATTTGCTGTCATGTCCCTCTTGCAACATCATGGGAATTAATTTTGATCCTTTTGGTAATAACAACCTTCGTTTGAATAGTAATTGACCATGTATTATCGTATAATCTGGCCTGCTGGAAGGATCTCGGATGATATCTTGAATGATCCCTTGCAACTGTGGGTCTGCCCTTACCTCCTCTGTTAAGACCTCCAATTGTATCACTGCCGGGACTAGTATTGCCATTAATTCGGCTGAAGAACTCACTCGGGATAGTGCATCAGCTGCTTTATTTTCACTGCATCAGCTGCTTTATTTTCACTCCCTGGGCGATATTGAATTTCAAACTGATACCCCATCAATTTCATTAACCACTTTTGATAATCAGGATTTACCTCCCGTTGCTCCATTAGAAATTTCAAACTTTTTTGGTCAATCCAAACAAAAAACTTTTGTCCCAGCAGGTAATGTCTCCACTTTTGGACGGCAAACACGATGGCCATCATGAAACACGGAAAAAAAAAAAAGAAAAAAAAAAAACCCTTGCGCAATTGTTCTGTTAAAGCCCACGCCAACTTGCCATAATCCTTAACAAAGCGACGGTAGTGCCCAGTCAACCCTAAATATCCCCTCAACTCCCTTAATGAACTAGGGCTCAGCCAATCTACTGTGGCTTGAATTTTTGACCTGTCCGCCGCTACTCCATGATGGGAAATGATGTGCCCGAGATACTCTACTTCTAACTACCTGAAACTACATTTTTTTCGATTTGCATACAATTGATGTTGGGATAACATAGTGCCCAGTCAACCCTAAATATCCCCTCAACTCCCTTAATGAACTAGGGCTCAGCCAATCTACTGTGGCTTGAATTTTTGACCTGTCCGCCGCTACTCCATGATGGGAAATGATGTGCCCGAGATACTCTACTTCTAACTACCTGAAACTACATTTTTTTCGATTTGCATACAATTGATGTTGGGATAACACCTGCAATACACTCCTCAGATGCTCATTATGCTCCTCTTCATTATGGTTGAACACTAAGGTATCATCAAAAAATACCAGAACGAAACGCCCTTAGTGTGAACCTTTTCATTTTTAGGTCCATTTACGTTGAATTTGCCCACATTCTAGGTATCATCCCCAAAAAAAAATAAAAAAAAATAAATTCATTCATAAGTGCCTGAAATGTAGCGAGAGCGTTAGTGAGCCCAAATGGCATCACTAAAAATTCACAGTGGCCTTCTTGTGTCCTGAAGGCTGTCTTGGGGATATTATCAGGTCTGACTCTAATTTGGTGGTACCCTGCTTTCAGGTTCAATTTAGAAAAGATGGTTGTAACGCACTCTTAGGATAAATGAGAACTAAATTTCATTAATGAACTGGAATTACACTGGTGAAAGATCTGTTATACGAATGACATCTGAAATACAAGGTACTGATTAAATGAAGAAAATAACAAGGATATAGATGTGAACATTCGAGAGGTCCACTACTCTCCTACTGATAACCAATTTCTGCCTACTCAACTGTAGCTCCGTTCCTTTATTTATAGGTTGCTTGTCTTCTAGACCGTTCCTTCCCCAACCAACTCATGTAACTGTGCATGTTGTCTCTCTTCTTGTGCATTTCCCTTGCTACCCCTGTGCCTTTGATAAGTAATTTGTATTGCTGGTCTTACATTATTCCCCCCAACAAGACTCAGCTTGTCCTCAAGGTGAAAGGACGGAATCTGTTGTTTTAACAAGTCATAGGATTCCCAAGTTGCTTCAAGTGGTGGTAGCCCTTTCCATTGAATTAATACATCAAGCCCTCTAATGTTGTGACCGAATCCGGGTCGTACCCCAAGCACTGCTTCAGGTTCCACCAACATTTCCAACTCCTCATTCAATTGGCTGGGTACTTCCTCCATAGCTTGTGTTGCTCCCATTGCTTTGTGCAACTGTGATATGTGAAAAACCGAACGAACGCTACAAGTAGATGGTAGTGACAGTTTATATGCCACAGGTCCAACCCTCTTCTCAACAGCAAATGGACCATAGAATCTTAGACCCAATTTCTCGTTACTTTTAGCTACCAATGTTTTCTAGCGATGGGGTTTGATTTTCGAGTATAACAAATCCCCAATCTGGAACTGGACATCTCGATGTTTAGGTCTGATTTTCAAGTATACCAAATCCTCTATCTGGAACTGGATATCTCGGCGTTTAGCATCAGCTATGTTCTTCATTTTAGCTTGAGCTCTGAGTAGTTGTGCCTTTAATTGGATCCCTTCTCGATCCTTACTAAGGCTGGGGGTTCTCTCCCATATACAATTTGAAAAGGAGTAGTTTTGGTAGCTATATGAAAGGATGTGTTGTACCACAATTTCGCCCATGGCAACCAACTGAACTAAGATTTTGGCCGCACTGAGGCAAAGCAACGAAGATAAGTTTCTATAGTGCGGTTTAATACCTCTGTCTGCTCATCAGACTCAGGGTGATAAGCTGTACTTCGGCGGAGCTTAGTTTTTTGCAACCGAAATAACTCCTCCCAAAAATGGCTCACAAAAACCTTGTCTGGATCTGAGACGATGGAATGAGGTATTCCATGGAGCCGTACCACTTCTTTAATGAAAACTAACCCCACACTAGCCGCTGTAAAAGGATGTTTGAGCCCCATAAAGTGCCCGTATTTACTCA